ACACGAACAGCCCTGTGCAAGATAAGTCAAGTCCAATCCCTCCGACGGGTTGGTTGTACGATAAATGTCATTTGAAGGTCCTGAGGCAAACATTGCTTAAAAGTTAAAGACGTGATGTAGTGCAGAAAATGGACTATTATGTCTCTTAGCACTAGAAGTCTATTTGGGTGGGCTCTGGAACTTAGGGAGCAGCTGAGCCATCACCTCCAGGGCTTGCATTAACTCATAAAGATCACTGTCTCTTCCAAGTCTGCAAGCCAACTTTGAGCTTTTGTGTGTACATTTCTTTGAATGTGACTCTTAGGAGGTACACTTTAGTATTTTGTTATGATTAATATACATTTAGGTGTAATCTTTTATCTGTAAAATACACAAGATTTCTTAATTTTGCAGTTCATCTAAATCAGGTCTTGCAGTGAATGTTGGTCTCTCCCATGAATTACACTGGTATCAGATGAAATCCCTCAAGGAGCTGATCTCTAGATGTGCCCTTTGTGTAAGCAACATCTCACTTCTAGATTGATAGGGGATTGGAGGAGAGTTCACACAAACGGAGGAGCATTATAGTGTCAAATTACCTTAACCCTCTCTGTCAATGTCTGTTTTCCTTATTTCTGCATATTCCACTCATGATCCTCTTTTGTTCCTTTTGATACACCTCATTACAAAACTAGTCTGGCACTGTTAACATTCACTTCTTCTATTACAAACTTGATTGTGTTTTAATGGCATCTTATGTGACAGATCAGCAGAAAAGCACCTAACTGTGACACATAAATGGCGGTTACTGTATTTATTCTATTTAGTAAAATATCTATATAAATCCCTTTTTTTGCCCTGGAAGTTAGCTGCAAGTCATTATAGTGCAGTTGTTTCCCAAATACAGGGGAAATATCATATGAGAGAAAAATTTAACTATTCAGCATTAATGCAAAATCTTATTTGTGGAGGAGCACTGTAAGTTTGGAAAACTGAACATAACATCCCATCATAAAACAAGGTGGGTGGTAGCATCCTGCTTTTTGTAGGAGAGACAAGAAAGTCAAAGTTAATGAGAAGGTGGATGGGTTAAATGCAAGAAAACCTGGAAGAAAACTTGTCAGAGGGTGCCGAAGACTTTAGTTATACCTTTTATCAGGATGAAAGCCCTAAACACAAACTGTGAGTTACAATGAGAAGGCTTAGGTCAGAGTTTACACATGTGGTTACTGTAAATGATTCAGTCAAAACTCAGACCTAAATTCAATTCAGAATGTCTGGAAAAAACCTTGAATTTATTTTTTACAGATGGCCTTTGTCCAGTATTAACAATAACTCTGCAAAATTGTGGGTGTAATAACCTAACCTTAATATGACTAACTTTCAACTATTTTGTCATGAAAAATGGTGGAAATTCTCAAGTCTCTTAATTTACAAAGCTGGTAGGTTGCTAGCAACAGATCCTCATAAAGTAAAAACTTGGTGGGACTGACCACAAATGCATTACAAAGTTTTCTGATTTTTATATTTGTAAGAAAGTTAAAAACTGTTGTATCATTTCACTACAAATAAAAACATGCTCCATTATATGGTGGTGTAATAACTAAAATCCCAGTCGAATTTATTTGAAAGGAAATTTATGTTTACACCCTTTCTACACATTACACGATGCACTTTATTCACCTTCTTGTTTCATTTTTTGGCCAGGGTCTTAATGGAATCCCTCCTTTTGCCCTCTCATTGTGTTAGTGCACGTAAACAAACATTTTAGGGGCTAAGTACATGGAAAACAAAAGCTCATCCCCAAGCCTACACTGTGACTGATAAGAAATGACAAGCCACCATTTATATGACTGATTTACTGTTTCCACATATTACTGTACACCCAATTACAGTGGCAACCCTTCATTAATACTTTGTATGAGGCAGTGTTTTTATGACAGCACTTAACAGTCCACATAGGTGGAGACAAAAACTCATCTCTCTTAGGGATCATCTTGCATTCCTCAAAGGGACACATGGAAAAATACTCCCAGCATGGCCTGGCCACACTCTCCAAAAGACTTCAACTCACTCACACACACACACACTGAAAAAGACAGCCACATGCACACAGATGTCGGCAGGCGACTATATTTATAACAACGCTCCAATAAATCTATCCACTCTCTTGTCTATTTTTTCTGGCTTTGCCCACACAACACAGAGGGTTTGTGCAGGTTGAAGCCCAGAGGAGAGGGGCCAGGAGGAGCTGAGTACCCCCTGGCATTTTGCTCCTCTTTTGGGCTTCATTGCCATGACTTAAGCTCAACCTCTGGCCAAAGTGCGACACACCATTGAGGAGGAAATTCTTGGAAAATATGAACTTGTGTCAACTTGTGCAAACCAAGGCAGGACTGCTGCCCTCCACCTCGCCCATCCCCCACCGCCTTGATTTGTTCTCAGTTCTACAGCATAAACACTAAAAAATAACACATGTTCTTCCCGAGTAGCAGTGTTTTTAAAGATCCATCTATTTTGAATCATTAAAGGTAAACCTAATTTAAATTCATTAAAACTACACTAGACAAAATAATACAACAAATGATGAAATGCATGATAAATGACCAAATTCAACTATATCAATTGGATACAGACTCTATATTCTACTGTGCAGAATACCTTTACCATAAAACATCTCTATCTTATTTCACACCCTTTCATACCAGTAAACAGGGTAGTTGTTATAAAAGCATATCTACTTCTCACAGGTGTTAACTAAAATCATAGTAAACCTTTGCCATGATTTTAGTGAACACCTGTGGGAACTTGATAAGTCAGGTGTTAATAAGTACAGTGCAGTAACACATTTATTTCTATATTTTTATGTTCTGCTGAATTTCTTAAACATTCGGAAAGTTTAAATATTTATATTGCACTGTCTAAGTAGCTGAACTCAATCAAATATCGAGAAATTTTAAGGATTAATAAAGAAAACAGTCTGCATAGCTTGTATCTGCTGCTTCGCTGTAAATCTTTTACTTGATCCTATCCTTATTTTGTTTTTATTCATCTAGCTTACATTCTTTGGTGTGTGAGGTTCACTAATAAACTTACAAATACAAGGTGAATAGCCCTAATTGGCTTAAAACATAAGACAGAAAAGTTAACTTGTTTTTATATTTATTGCCAAAAAAATGATCAGTATTATTAACAAATACCTGAAGTGTCAAGTAACGAAGTACAAATACTTCGTTAATGTACTTAAGTACACTTTTTAGGTATCTATACTTTGCTCCATTACTTATTTTTCTTCCGACTTCTGACTTCGACTCATTACATTTTCACACAAGTATCTGTACTTTCTATTCCTTACATTTTTAAAACAAACGTTACTCGTTACTCTTGTCTTCGGTTTAATGTTTATAAGTATTTATTTTACGTCATGTGTGTCATCCAATGCAGATTATTGGCGCCATCCACATCTAGTGAGAACTAGTGTAATTGGATGAATCATAGAACGCAAACACTCATTGGTTAGCTAAAGGAAATCATCAGAAGCAAGCAGGTGTTCTTCAAACTGCAAACGTGAATTGTCTATTCCATGCTACAATGTCGGATTCAGAAAAAGATGTTGAAATGTCTGAAAGGTCGGACATAGGCGAGAGCGTATCGGGGATGGAGACAGAGACCAACAAGACCTCCCTCATCCTTTGAGCTATCTCAAAGAATTTTTCGAAATAGTCGAAAAATGTTGCTTTCAATTCATATAGTGGCATCCGGCTGTTTTTGTTTTAAAGGTTATGTTATACTTTTATACTTCAAGTATTTTTTGGAGCACATACTTTTTAACTTTTACTTGAGTAAAGAGGTCAAGTTGATACTTCAACTTTTACAAAATTGTTTTTTAAACTGCAGTATCTTTAATTCTACTTAAGTAACAAATGTGTGTACTTTTGACACCACAGACAAATACAAAGGAAACCAGTTGTTACATGTAAATTAATAATATTTTATCTATTCTTCCTTATTGTAAAAGAATGGTAAGGAGTTTATCTATTCTTGAAGCCCAGTTGTTTTTTTTGTTTGTTTTTTTAGCAACCCGTGGCGCTAATTTACTTTTATGTTTTGTATATCTTCCTCTTTTTGTTTTCCTGCTTCTCTCTCCTTCAAAGCCCAGACAACCTCAGCCGATCACAATTAACCTGCTTCTGCTCGAGGTTTCTTATTGTTAAAATGGAGTCTTTCCTTTCCACTATTGCTGCAAGCATTCTTGGCTTGAGGGATTGCTGAAGAGCCAAAGACAACCAGCTCCACTCTAGGGGAGTGGCGGCCTATTGGTTGGGGCATTGAGTTCCCAAGGTTATGGGTAAAATGCAGAGAGTGAATTTCATTGCTCTGTACTTGTGACAATAAATGACAATTTAAAAAAAAAGCTGGAAAAAAAAGGAGCGTGTCCTGCAAGTCAATGACTCAATACAATTAAATGATTTTATTTGATCGAAAATTTTAACCAATGTGACTGGATAATCTGACTGAATCGCCTGTAAAGTGCCTTGAGATGACGTGTTCTTAATTGGTACTTTATAAAGAAACTGAAATTAATTAATTGAAGAATGCTACTGCTGTCATAAAAAAACAAACATTTCTTTTAAAAAAAAATCACACTATATTTTGAAAGAGCTTGATGTATCTTTTCTTTCTGTTTTTGTATTTTCTTTATGTTTTTGTATTTTCTGTAACTAATTTGATAAATACTATTTTTGTGTACCGGTAACTGAAACAAAATTGGCCCTGTGATGGACAGGCAACCTGTCCAGGGTTTACCCTGCCTCTCGCTCATAGACAGCTAAGGATAGGCACCAGCACCCCTTGCGACCCCCGCAGGGATAAGCGTGATTAAAAATGGATGGATGGATGGATGGATGGATGGATGGATATAACATAATTGAACTAAATTCAAATACCTTGAGGTAAAATAAAAATTTAAAAATCTGATTGAAAAAATGTACTTTAATAACAGAATAATCAATCATCTTGGCAAAGATTTTCAATTTTGGCCCAACAAAATAGTGTATATGTTATTCTAAAGGCTACTACTGTAGGTACCTCTGAACCTTTGTCTAGAAACGAATCATAACACACAACCAATGCAAAAAACACACAGAGATGACAGAAGAATTCTTGGGAAAATAAGGTGAAACTCCAACTCTTAGACACAAGAACCCTTTATGAAACACTTTAAGGGTTCAGTCTACATCACACTGTGTAAATACTCTGTAACAAACTTTGAACGCTTTTAGTGAGATGACATAATATGCATATGTGAAAACCGCCCGTAGGAAATGAAAAGCAGCTAGTGTCTTATTCCAAATGGGAGGTGTACTTTTAGTGAATATCACATATACTATATCTACACAGAGGAAAATGCTGATAACTAGGCAGCTTATATAATAATTGCTAGTTGTCTGGTACAGATACACACAAACACATGTAAATTATGCAGAGTCTGAAAAAAACTAACAACCAAAGTGCATTATTTTAATAGTTCTCTATAGCATATTAAATGAAAACATATATATACTGTATATGAAATTTTTTCTGATGCAAAAAAAAAGCCCTTCAAATACTTACTTGGTCATTTAGAATTGGTCCCTCCTTTTTTCTTTTTGCCACGAAAAATATATATCATCAAAATATAAATATATCATCCAAAGATATGTTAAAAGTAAGTGTTGGTTGGTACATTTGAGCTTTACATCATTTTACAAAGGAAAATCTAAAGATTTACATGCATATGGCCGAAATCAATACTTTTAAGATCCATTTTTACAAGAGGAATCCTACTGCTAGGGTAGGGCACTGCCATTTTTACAATCCATAGTGGACGTTGGATAATTTAGCTGAAATTTTAAATGTTTTTTTTATTATTTAAATTTACAAACCTAAAACAATTATAAGTGTAATAATTTTAATCTCATTTACATAAATGACTTCTGACTGTTGTTTGTAGAAATGATTGAATACTTCTATTTTTGATTGTCTATATTTTTTTACAATGAACTTTTTGCAGACATAAAGACGTTTACACACCATTTTAAAGTAAGGACAGTGGACTTAATACCTAACTCTAATTTAACTCTAATTGAAACCCTCAGTTTATCTCCTCCTATGAGGCCTAACCCCAGTCATTCCGTTATTGGATAAGAAACCTAAACCAAAGGTAAGTGGATGTATTCTGACTTCATTAAATTCCTGTAGTACAGTACTCTTGTCTTATATTGCAGTACCAGCCTAATGTATGGAGGTTTCGGGGTATTGCTCTACCTGCTTTGCACATCTGGAGGCTGAGATTCTGTATTATTCGTATTGGCTAAAGATCTTACTTAGACCAGTAAACCTGAACTGCAAAGTGCAAGCAAAGATTTGAATTAAGGTTAAGGTCTGGTGCTGACTGGGGCATTCTAACATACCGGTATATAAAACATGGTTGTTGTCAAATAAGAAGGCAAACTTTCTCCAATATCCTAAAGTTAGTTGGGAGTCCACTCATCCATCATCTCATACCTGCTCCTACAGTAGTTAAGAAAAGTATCTTAACAGCATAATGTGGCCACCTACATGTTATAACATTGCCTTGATATTCATGGTGATGTGCAGTACTACTTCTCCATATTGCATATGGAACAAAATATTTAATTCAGGCCTCGTCTAAAAAAGTACCATTTACCATATGTTTGTAGAAGAAGATTCTGTATAGGATTTGTGGCAAAACAAAAACATGAACTCTTGCGTGTCTTATGGCTTTACACTCACAGTAATCTTACTACTTTTATATTTTTTTATGAAGTGCACATCGGCCAGTTGTACTGTTGACAGTTTCCATGCAGAACTTTGGATTTTTGCAGCTCCTCAAGAGTTAACATCAACCTCTTAGCTACTTTACAGTTTAATGTAATCCTCATCTGTGCCATGAATTCATGGTTGATGCAAATATGTTGATGGAATTGGTGAAAATTATCTTTAGATAAATCAGAGCAAACAAGGATGAAAAGAAATGTGGATCACAGTTGTATTTGTAAAAGAATAGAAAATTATCATTATCTTCCTTTTTACAAAGATGTGCTGGTTTTTGTTGGTCCATCACATTATATCCCTGTAATAAATCTGAATTCACAATTTCTACTTTGATCATATTTTTAAATATCTATGGGGAACGACCACCTTTGAAAGTGTTGCTGTTAATTACCAAATCAGAGCTTCTCTTGTTACATGTGATATACAGAAGACAAAAAATGAAAAGCAATGCTAGATACCAGGAATTCCATTAACACACATATCAGTATAAAACAAAATAATTGAATATTGACATCAGTGTACTCAATGCTTTGTATTTTTATTATCCTACAGCATACTGAAGATAGACCACAATGTCTATGAGGAAACTTAAATAACAGTACAAAAAACTCTCTACAACCTCACAAGTTTATATCATACCCAATGTGGTTATTGCCAGCAGGTAGTGAACACATCAGACAAATCACTTTACTGATCCAGACACCTCTTTGATGTGCGAGCTACTCGAAGCTCTGTTAAAAATACGGTGGAGAGAGACTTATGAATAAAACGTCCCTAGCTAGTAAAATAATGGATGCTCTGTGCATTAATTCTCTTATTTAAGGAAAAGGAACATTCTTTGGTCCATTGTCAAACCATAACTAAAAAAATAGGTCGTTTAGGTAGTTTGGATCTTTTGGCTATTTGTCCAAAATTCATAGGAACCAAACAATAACGTCTGAACTTTAAAATTAAAGATGTAAAGTGAGTCAAAAGACAAACATAAAATGGATAACCAATGAGATTTACATCCTTTCCTTCTTTAACATCAACAAAACAAAAGCAAGAAACTAAAAAGAAACAGAAGTGGTTATAATTAAAATATATGAGTACTCTTTAAATCAATTCATCAGTGACACAGACTAAGTTCCTTTCTCACCATACACTTTTTACACTGCACAACACAACACCAATGAAAACGACACAAGCAGTTCTCCTCAAACACCACCGTCTCCTCTCTGTAGCCTCGCTCACAGCACAGCAAGTCACAGCCACTGATGTCCATGGCGGTGCTGTTGCACATCCGCCCCCGCGTTCCCAGCGAGCCAGTTTTCCGATTTGCGAGGCAAAAGTCTGGAGACTCATCAGAGTATATCAGATCCTGCTTGTCCGGCGGCTTTATGTTCTGGCCGACAGGTATCAGGGTCTTCCCATCGTTGCCACCCATCACCTTGGAAGCTCCATTGAAACGCTCCAGCAGGCGTTCACCAACTTCACGGAAATGAGGCATCTTTTTCCAGCATGTGCGCAAGGTGCAAGAGCCTGACAGTCCATGGCACTTGCATTCAGTCCTCATGTGAAGCTTCACAGCCTAGTGGGTAAAGATGGGAACAAAAGGTAAATGAGGGCATCAAGGTAAAAAAAAAAATTAAAAAAAACATTTAACTTGCACCTCAGAGGAAGGTAAGATTGGTTGATAAGTTCACTAAGGAATTTCAAATCTGTTATTGTGTTCTCAGATTATAGAAAATCCCACACCCCCAAATACACACACACACACGCACACACACCCATGACCACACCGACACACTAGCACACACAAACACTAACTGATAGATAGGTAAGATAAAAGCAGACGCTATTCCGAAGGAATTTCTCCCCAACCCCCCTTCCCATCACCATTGCCTCTGGCCTTCCTACATCTAACAAGCCTTGACAACAGATCATTCACTTATACTGCACATAATTAACCCATTACGCACACACACACACACACACACACACACACACTCGTCTTTTTAGGTATATGCTCACACACTAACTGAACGGAGTGAAGAAGAATGCATGCATGCACACAAACAGAAATGTGAACACATCACAGCATGCTCAGTTCTTAGCCTCTGGGTATTAGCGCACCTTTTTTTTTTAATGCTGAAAATGGTTTGTCACTAATGCTTTAATTGGACCACATCCCAAGAACTTTTGTCTCCTCGGTTCCTCTGTACCTTCCTTTGACCCTAGTTGAAATTAACTTAAGTGAATGTGGCTGTTGAGCAACTTTCTTTGCAAAAAGAACAGAACTCCATAAAAATTGCCAGAACCATAGGTAATTCATTGTGAAATAAGGTTCAATCTCCTTCGGTAACTGTGAAAATGTTAAAAGCTGTCTGCCTCGAAGGCTTAAAAGCAAAATATGTGGCACGTTCTTCTGCTTTTGTTTCAGACATCTCTTTCTTGTAAAAATATCAGATTACGGTACAGCTAAAATACAGCTACAGGCTGTCTTCCTCTCTTGAATGTACAAGGAATGAAGGACTGAATCCAAAGAACAGGGAACAGCTTTGAAATATGTGATCTGTGTTAAATATAGTAGTAGTTACACAATATGCTACACTACTAATCTAGTGCAAAACAACACATTTTTGAAGGTCTTTCTTACCAGCCTCCCGGCCTCGTTGTTGTGAAGGTTAATGAGTGTCCTGATATCACTTTTCCCTCTCCTTTTTTTGGCATCCATGAACTTTTTGGACATTTCATAACCAAACTCTACATCATCACCACAACCTCCCCACTCCCATTTAACCCCATCCCCGGATGAAGTTGATGAAGGCGGCCTTGGGGGAGCTTTGTTTCTGGTCGCTTCACATCCACACTGCAGAAGCTCTCCCATGCTGCAGGCTTGGGTCACAGCATGTGTAACCCCTGCTGCTGTGATAGCGTAGACAAATGCCGTCTCCCGGATATCTGCAAAAGAGCCAACGAGAGAGCAGGTTAGCTCTATTTTGGTTATGTGGTAACAGGGAGCTTCTATTGTAAGGCTATACAGTTTAAGGAAACCTTAACAGCATGCACTTAACATAATGCAATAACTAGTAACAGTCTCCAGTTGTCAATGGGCGATAGGTGGGGTACACCCTGGACAGGTTGCCAGTCTATCGCTCACACCTCACTCACACCTATGGTAAATTTAGAGAAGCCAATTAACCTAACAGTCATGTTTTTGGACTGTGGGAGGAAGCCAGAGTACCCGGAGAGAACCCAAGCATGCACAGGGAGAACATGCAAACTCCATGCAGAAAGACACCGGGCCAGGATTTGAACCCCGGAACCTTCTTGCTGCAAGGCACTGGTGCAACCCACTGTGCAGTCCCCAATGTGAGATCAATAAACTTCCATTATTATTATGTATTTGCCCTCTACAGTACCTCGTCAAGAGGCAGCCTTCTAATCCAGTCATTCAATATCTGAATTAAATTGAACAGAATAAAAGCACCTTCCTTATGTACTGGTTCAGTCTAGCATCACTGTATATGTGGTGCTGAGAGAGCAGCTGTTTCCTTGTAATACACACATATTCATACACGTACTTTTAGTAACATCACAACTGGTAGTTTATTTTGGGTTCAGAGCTTAACACTCCCTGCTAAAGGAATGTCCAACTACAACTGCAAATTGATCGTATGTCTGCCTCAGTGGCTTTACAATAATTTCCAGCCTAAGGTCAACACATCAATAGACACGTTTATTGCGGCTGTTATTTGCTTGACGACAAAATAGCAGCCATATTTATCTATACAGAAAGGTTCCATGGAGACACACACCAGTCTGCCTACAGAGCGTTGGGTCATGACGATAGGATTTATCATGAACAGTCTCAGATTAAAATTTGCAAATAAAACAAAAAAAAGATGCGATTTTATGTTATCAAAAATAATAATGACAATAATAATAACAACTAACAAAACAAATAAAGCAATTCACTAAAGGCTATAATTTTCTTTGAATGCAGGTCATTAGGAATACTAAAATAATTTATGTCTGGCTGTTTATTAATGTATAGAACATGACATATCTTATTTCAAGGGGCTGATGTACACCTTCCTGGGCCCCCAGAGCATATGAAAAAGTAGTCATGCAGGCCATTATGCCATGACCAAGCCATTATGATACCAATGAGAGGTTGGACAAGCTCCAAGTGTCATAAAAGGCTCCCCACCTGATGTGGGCATAATGCCCCACTTTTACTTTTACCTCAACTAAAATAACCAAGACCTAAATCATCACCCCTTGTCCACTCTTCTGTCCAAACAAGTGTTAGCTAGTTAGTTTTTTTTATATATATATATATCTACAAAAGAACTGTGTACTGCTAGTATTATATGTAGAAGTTTATATGTAGCAAAGGTTTTGTTTTTGTGTCCAACTCAGAGTACCAATATTGACAGTAATAACCACAGGCAGAGGATGGTGCCACTCACAATCAGGTAACGGTGCTGAAATGATTAATAATTAATCAGTTAATCTTGCTTAATCAATCATTAAATCTATTATAACCTAATGAATCAAATCTGATTGTATAGTGGAATAAGCAGACTCTAGAACATGGGTTGACATTTATAGTTTCCCAGGGCTGATATTATACAACCTACAGATTCATCTTTGGTCCAACACAGCTGAATCAAATGTCTGAATTGCCTCCTTAGTTTGCAGTCAATTGCTCCAGATTTCTTTTAATCATTTGATTTGATTTGGGTGGTTTCGAAAAAGCAAACATCTAAAATTTGCAGGATCCCAGCCTCCAGGAGATGATATACCCCACCTTTCTGTGAAATATGGTATTCATAGAAATAAAAACCGAATTAGAACAGTAGTAAAGCCTAAAAGGTGGGAGAAACCCCCAATACATTGAAGAGGAAAAATCGTTTTCTTCGTTTTACCTGATTGTAGAAAAAAATATATTTTCCAAGAAGCACCTTCTGCAACCCAATGATAATTGGTTTATAATATTTGGAAACCTGTGATCCTGGCTTTATACTATTCTCTGGCTGGCAAGCTTTGCTAGTAGGAATTCAGAATCCTACCAAAAGGGGACACACGTAATTATTATACATAAAAACAGTTTTATTTAACACACAAGGGCTTAAACTACTCTCTGGGCACATTTTGAATTTTTTATGTGTGCAGATTTATGTGTGCTAGCTCTCATGGCTTGTTTTCTGGGGGGCTGTAGCTCTTCACCTACTTGTGTGTGGTACTCTGTTTGCTCCCTGGTGTCATCTTTTTACACTTTAAGGAACCAAAACAGAGACTAACCCTACTTTTAAAGAAATCCCGCCATTATCCTGCCAACATTAACAAAGAAACTTCTAACTAATCCAAGAGTAGAATATGACTTCATATGCAACAATTATCTCTGTCATCAACTGACAACTTAATAAACACAATGTTTGAGACAAAAGAGAAGATGCTTAACAGTAGCTGCAAACTTATTAGAAAAGTAAATGTCTGTGTTCAGCTATAATTAAGTGTTTATTCAAACTTCAATTTCCTCAATATAAACAGTAAAGGTAACATTAGGTTAACTCATACTATATTACAAATTTTAAATTGATCATGATTTTGTGCCTGTTCAAATAAGTTAACTTCACAAAACAACTTCACCAGTTTTTAGCTGTTAAACATAATACAAGTTATCCTGAAGATGCCTTGATAATTTTACTAGCCACCACATTTAAGAGCAGTAATGTCTCAAGAGGCAGGATTTTCTGAAATTTGGCCACACAGGTAGTTAACTTGCATGTCACTTCCCTCAAAGTGACAGAAGCCTAAACAAGCACATAGATACAGATCCACACGTGAGGGTGAAAAGCAAGCCTTGAGCACAGAAAAGGAGCATGCACTCATGCTCATTGTATTAAAGTGAATCTACATGCATAAAATATTCAAAATATACATGGAGAGTAGTTTACGTGTGTGTTTTAAGTAAAACTGCTAGTATAAGTATTTATTACTTCTGTGCCCTCTGGCAGCATTCTAAACACAGAGCCAGATTATCAAATGCAGTTTTGTGACTAAATATCCAGCGTTATTTCCCTGTCTGCCTAATTTCAATCACTTTTTAACTTATGGATTTCCCTGTTCTGCTCAGCCCACATTAGATATTCTCTTGGCTTCTAATTTCTGGATATTGCTTCTGTTTCAAAAAGCTAGAAAGCTCTTAGCCTGAGTAAGATTAAGACAAAAATTCATCACTGAAACAACCCTGGTCAGTGGCAGGGTTTAGTCTAACTCTGGGTTTTTCCAACTTTTTTAGCTGAGATATACTACCAAAGTGTGTTGGAGATGCTGTGCCATTTTCTGGAAGAATCTGTTGAGGTCAGAGCAGAAACACCATGAAGATATCTCCATCAGGAAAGGGTGATTAGACAGGTATTTTATTGGTTCTGAACAAATGTTTCTTCATCAAATTTACTAAAATGAAGACCTCAGGTATTAACTTTTTGGCAAGCACTAAATTAGAGCCATATGGGAGCATTTTCAAGCATTTCTACTAAGTTTACAGCATTAAATATTGGTTGAAAGAACATTGCCAGCTGCATACTGTTAATATGGGAACCATATCATTAATTCCATACGTTAAATACAGCCAACTGAAGATTTAGAGTTTTTGGTTTTAAGAGTTTCAAGATTACAACAAAAGGCTTAGACCTGAACCCTACCAGATTTAACTGGATGTTAATACTTCCATCTCCATTTGCTGCTCTGTCCCTTTGGTGCCTTTTCTCTTGTACCTGGACCTGCATTCAAAGCACATAGAACATAGACATTCTCTCTGATGGTGAATCCTTTAATGGGTAAAATATAACTTTGATTCTTTATCAAATATTAGTTGCCACTGAATTTGTCTGCAATTGTCTGATAATCTGACTGTCGCTCTTTTGCAGTAGCAGCAGTGTTGCAATAATAAATCTTATAGAATTTTGCCCAAAATTGCAAAAACAATTCTGTTGTTTTTTTTAGCGAATTTACACAAATGTTACATTACTAGTAAAGTGTATCTAGTTTTATTCATTATAAAACGCCAAGAGAAATTAGGTAAAGTCTATTTGACATTTCTCTACTAAACCCTTGAAACATTCTTCAACCAGAAAGGCCCTAGGCCAGGATTGAAACCAAGACCTTCCTGCCACAAGGCTTTAGTGCTACAAAATGCCCCACCATCTAGTCTAGGTTCTATGAGTCAGTAATTCATCCTGCTTACCAAACAGGACAGCACAAAGGAAGGATGAAATATCGAAATCACTGACTTTTTAAACAGAGTAAAAGGTAAATGCACATTTTAAAAATTGCAGTTTACAATGTTTAAAAAAGTACTCTTTCCGAATGTGAAGCACGCTGAAAAAAACAACTCTTTCTTTAAAAATCTACTGTATTTGTACACAAATGAATTAAGTAAAATTTAAAGCTGCAATATCAAGTAAGACTTGACACTTGCCAGCATCAAGTGAATTTTACTTTCCATTATTCATCATTCATCAGACACAACAGTTGTGAAGATATTAAGTAACATTTACTTAATTATTTCCAAGTTGTAAGGTAGATTTATTTAAACAAATTAAGTATACTAACCTTGTTTTTCATAGGCACAAACAGCATTTTACTCAAATTTTAAAGACAAACAACCATTCATGTGCACACTCACACCAAAGGAAAAGTTAGAGAAGCCAATTAATCTAACCATCATGATTTTGGACTATGGAGGAAGCTGGAGTACCTGGAGAGAACCCATGCATGCACAGGGAGAACATGCACACACCATGCACAAAGACCCCAGTCCAGGAATCGAACCCGGAACCCTCTTGCTTCAAGGCAGCAGTGCTACCCACTGCATCACGTTGCAGCCCTATAACTAATATTGTGTATTTTGTACTTTAAATGTTGTACTGCATTGGAACATGTACCGA